GCCAAAAATCCTCCCCTGGCAATTTTTTATTACTACTTTTGGACATTCCTCCTGTATAGGGACAAGCCCGACATAAGGCCAGGAGCAGAAAACACGTGGCAAAACCAGACGGGCAGATCGGGCGGGCAGACCCCAGCAGGCGGGTCGGGAAGGCGGGCCAGGGCGGTCAAGTCGAGCAAGCGGGTTGCTGAAGCGTGCGTCCCGCATGAATCGCGAAGCAGTCTCGAGCGATAGCCCGATTCCCAAGTAAATAGCGAGATAGGCCAACACGAGAATGTGATTCCTGAGTGTCGAGGGCGGAAGCGCGACTTCTGCATGTATTGTAAGAAATCCCGCGCGAAAGCGCGAAACGGGGTTTTATTGCGAGGAAGTATCAGGCGCGAGCCGCTGTTGTTTAAGACCGGGGGCCAGGGGCGCAGTTTGGTGACACCTCGCTTTCTTTTGTACAAGACAGGGTGCGGGCCCGGGGAGAAGCACCGTGATTGGACAAATACAAACTTGTTACCGGGAAGCGCATTGATTCTTTAGGAACGAACATTGAACGGCAACAACACTCACTTTACTACTATTCGCTCTTATTTGCTCGCGTGCCATTCAATGCGTACGCCCCAAGCCCTCGATACTCGCCCTCTTCGTCTTCGATCATATCCCCCCTTGGGGGTCTATCTTTCTTACATGCAACGTGTAATATTGCATTGCGTGCAGCCACTAAGGTCGGGAAATAGAGGACGGATGGAAAAAGTGACAAGAGGGAGGGAGGTGGATGGAACACGAGAGACAGTAGGAGGATAACTGAAAGCAGACTACGCGTGGCAGAACCAGACAAGATCGGGCGGGCAGACCCCAGCGGGCGGGTCGGGAAGGCGGGCCAAGGCGGCCAGGTCGAGCAGGCGGGTTGCTGAAACGTGCGTCCCGCATGAATCGCAAAGCAATCCCAAGCGATAGCGCGATGCCCAAATAAACCGTGTGGAAATCCAAAACGAAAGCGCGACTCCTGAGTGTCGGGGGCAAAACGTGTGAATACATTGCGAGGAAATCCCACGCGAGATCGCGATTCCTGTATAAATTGTCGGGAAGACCGGCGCGAGAGTGCGATTTGGGAATGAATGGAAGAAGTCTGAAGCAGGAGCCGCTGTTGTTGTGGAGCGAGGACCAGGGCCCAGTTTGCTGACACCTGACTTTTCCTTGTAAAAATAAGGTGCGAGCCGCGGGGGGAATACTTGACTTGCTGAAATACAACGATTGCCAGAGGGAGGGGCATAAACAATAATTATTCCTTTGGAATGAGAATCAAGCAGCAACAACAATAACAACAACACTCCTTTTAAGACTGTTCGCTATTATCTGCTCGACTGTCCGTCAACGCGTTTTTCCCAAATCCTCGATACCCGCCCTCTTTCGTCTTCAATCGTACCCCTTCTGGGGGGTATGCTTTTATTCCCTGCAGGCCGGGCCCCGGCTAGCGGCGGGGCGGCCGCGGACCGTCGGCCTGGCCAGCGGCAGCGCTGATCGGCGGCAACCCGAGAGGGACGGACAGGGGACCGACCACGACGACGGCGACGACGACGACGACGACGAGCGAAAGCGAGAGCGAGATCGAGAGCGAGAGCGACAGCGGGGCCACGAAGGGCAGAATGGGGCCACGAAGGGCGAGAGCGGGGTCAGGAAGGGCATGTGGATGGGGCCACGAAGGGCGCGAACGAGCGGGGGACACGAATGGCAGATAATGCGGGGCCACAGAGGGCAAGGGCTGGGCCACTGAGGATAGCAACGGGGCCACGTAGGGCACCGGGGGGGGCCACGAAGGGCGACAGCGGGGCCACGAAACGCATGCACATGGGGCCACGGCGGGCGCGAACGAACGGGGGCCACGAAGGGCATACTTATATTGGGCTGCGGAGGGCAAGGACGGGGCCACTGAGGATAGCAACGGGGCCACGTAGGGCAGCGAGAGGCCACGAAGGGCGACAGCGGGGCCACGAAACGAATGCATATGGGGCCACGGCGGGCGCGAACGAACGGGGGCCACGAAGGGCATACGTATACTGGGCCGCGGAGGGCAAGGACGGGGCCACTGAGGGCAGCAACGGGGCCACGAAGGGCAGCGAGGGGGCCACGAAGAGGTGCAACGGGACCACGAACGGCAGCGAGGGGGCCACGAGGGGTTGCAACGGGGCCACGAATGGCAACGAAGGTGCTACGAAGGGCTGCAACATGGCCACGAGGGGCAACGAGGAGGCCACGAAGGGCGAAAGGCAGCGAAGGGGCCACGAAGGGCTGAAACTGGGTCACGAAGGGCAGCGAGGGGGCCAAAAAGGGCTGCATTGGGGCCACGAAGGGCAGCGAGAGGGCCACGAAAGGCTGCAACGGGGCCACGAAGGGCAGCGAGGGGGCCACGCAGGGCAAAGAGGGGGCCACGAAGGGATGCAACGGGGCCACGAAGGGCAACGAGATCCCGATTCCTGAGTAAGCTGTGAGGGAGTCTTAATCGTGAGCGCGACTCCTGGGTGCCTGAGTGTCCGGAGCGCGACGCTTGAGTACATCGCAAGGAAATCCAACGCAAGAGCGCGATTCTTTAGTAAATTGCAAGCGCGTCTCCAGCGAGAGCGCGACTCCAGAGCGCCGAGAGAGTGATCCCTCAATAAAGTATACGGAAATCCCGAGCGAGAGCATGACTCCTGAGTAAAATGCGAGGAAATCTCAGGCTGGAGCGGGGGCCCTGGCTAAACTGTGAGGAGGTTTCAAGCGGGAGCCGTCGTTGTTGGTGTTGGTGGTGTTGTTGTTGTTGTTGTTGTTGTTGTTGTTGTTGTTGTTGTTGAACTCTCATTCTTGAAGAATAATTATTGTTGATCCCCCCCCACCGGTGCACATTGATTTTTTCGATTGAAGTGCCACCCCCGGGGCTCGCACCTTGTTTTTTCTGAAAGAAAGTCTTCCTGCTCAAACTGTGCCCCTGCCCCCCGGGCTACAACAACAACGGCTCCCGCCTGAGACTTCCTCGATTTTTACTCAGGACCCCCGCTCCCGCCTGAGACTTCCGCGCAATTTACTCAGGAAAGGCGCTCCCGTCTGAGACTTCCTCGCAATGTAATCAAGACCCCCGCTCCCGCCTGAGACTTCCGTGCAATTTACGTGGGAACGGCGCTCCCGCCTGAGACTTCTTCGAATTTTACTCAGGACCCCCGCTCCTGCCTGACATTTCCGCGCAATTGACTCAGGAACGGCGCTCCCGCCTGAGACTTCCTCGCAATTTAGTGAGGGCCCCCGCTCCCGCCTGAGACTTCCGTGCAATTTGCTCAGGAACGGCGCTCCCGCTTGAGACTTCCTCGCAACTTAGTCAGGGCCCCCGCTCCCGCCCGAGATTTCCTCACAATGTACTCAGGACTGCGCTCTCGCGTGCGACGTCCTCACAAATTATTCTGGAATTGCGTTTCGGCGCTCAGGAACCACGCACGCGCCAAGGACGCCTTCACAACGTGGTATCTTCCCTCTTCCTTCGTCCTTCCCCCTCCCCTTCCTCCCACTCTCCCTCGTTCTTCCCCTCCTCCTCTTGCAGGGCCCGCGCCAATTCCAATGGCGGGCAGAGAGGATGTACGCCCCCGAAGGATTGTCCGCCCGTTCCGGTTTGCCCGTACGTCTAAGCCCGCCGGCCCCAGCAAAGAGAAATAATCCCCCCGAAAGGGGTGTGATCGAAGACGAAGAGGGCGGGTTTCGAGGGTGTAGGGTATACGTGTTGAATGACTCGCGGGCAAGTAAGAGCGCACAGCCTTAAAATGGTTGTTGTTGTTGTCATTGTTGTAATCCGGGGGCCAACAACCAAGCTTGAGGTCCGTGATTTTTTCCGGACAAAATACAATCGTGCGAGACCCATAAGAAGCACTTCAATTGAAAAACACAATGGTCACCAGAGGGGCGGGATCAGCAATAACTACTCTTCAGGTGAATTCGACAACAACAACGGCCACATCATTAACAACAATCATTTCAAGACTGTTCGTTTTTTTACCTAGTCGCGTGTCATTCAACACGTAGATCTCAAACCCTCGATATCCGCCCTCTTCGTCTTCAATCGTACCCCCTTAGGGGTATAGCTCCATGAATTGCCGATTGTACTTGGTGCAGTCCGTCAAACAAAGAAAGAAAGGACTGATGGAAGGGGGAGGGAGAAGGATGGAGCACGGGATGGATTAGCAGGAGGGGGGCTAAGTACAGAAGCCACGTGGCATAATCAAGCGGGCTGATCGGGCTGGCGTAGATCCCAACGGGCGGGTCGGCAAGGCGTGCCCAAGCGGCCAGGTCGAGGAGGCGGGTTGCTAAAGCATGCGTCCTGCATGAATCGCGAGGAAGTCTCGAGCGACAGCGCGATTCCCAAGCAAATCGAGACAAAGCACGAGAACGCTATTCCTGCGCGTCAAGGGCGCGGCGTCTGCATAAACACGAGGGAGCCCCACGCGAGAGCCCGATTCCTGCATACATTGAGAGAAAGTCCCGCGTGAGACCGCGATGTTGGTATACAGTGTGAGGAAATATCAGGCAGGAACCATTGTTGTTGTTGTCGTCGTTGTCGTTGTTGCTGTTGTTGTACTTCGGGGGTGGAAAGGCCAAGCTAGTGACCCCAAACCTTCCCGTGTAAGAAACAAAATGCGAGACCCGGGAGAAACATTTCAGTTGAATAAAGGAACCGTCACCAGGAGGAAGGGGGATCATCAATAAGTACAGACATGAAACATCCACACTGCAGCAATCCGCACCGCAGAACCCCGCTCCAGCCACGCACCCAGAAACGGTGAATGACCATTCGCCCCCCTCACTCTGACATATGTATACCTGTATACATAGATACATCTATACACATAGCTTGGATGCATACAGCATGCGTACATATGAACACCGGTAACTCGCAGTACAAACACATCAACACTTACACACGTATAATGGAACTCCTGGAGACATCGGGCGTCGACTCTCGAGCACAAGTTCCCTTTCCAGGTCCTGTCGGCGACCGCGCCGCGCGGGCGTAGCGGATCTCGTGGGCGGCAGAAGCGTCCGGCCCGAGCCCCGCGAGGTTGGAGTGCGCCAGCGTGGCCAGGCTCAGGTCGCCGACGGCGTCTGGCCTGAGGGCGCATGAAGCCTTATAACTCGCCATGGAGGAAGCGGGTCCTCAAAGAAACTTGTCCTGCATTGTTTCGCCGTCGGACTGTCAGGAAACTGAAGACCTAGCTGGTCCTGGGGAAAGGCCTTGGGGTGTAGGACCCGTTGCTTTCATGCCAACTATCCGCCACCGTGCCGCTGGGACGGAATGGGCGTGGCTTCTTCACGTCCATTGCCTGATCCCCTGAGCCTCGATCCTCGATCCTGGAGGTTCTTAAAGAGCCTGGGCCCCGAATTGTCAAATCTCCTTAGACTTGCCGCGGCTCCCCGCATGACTGGCTCGTCTCCCCGCGTGACGTGTTCGGGCCCAAGAGGGCCCAAAAACGAGCCAAGGGGGCCCCAAAAGGCTCGAAGACGGTCCAAGAAATCCCCGAATCGCCGTACCATCGCAACAAAACGCGCAAGATGGTCCCCAGACGCCCCAAGAGGTGCCCAAGAAACCAAAATCGCTTATGTCCTTTGGTTCTTGTCAGTTTTTGGTGCTCTCGCCTTTTCGGTTTCCCGACGCTCCAAGACGGCCAAAGAGGCCTCCAAAAAGGCCCCCTAAACGGCCCAAGAAGCGCCCAAGACGGCCCAGCCCCAAAGACGGCCCCGAGAGGGGGCGCAGATGGGGGACCCGAGCGGACATTTCGAGCCCTCGGCCCCGAGTGGGCTCCAGGAGCCCCAAGAGGCCCCAAGAGGTCCCAAGCCGCCTAAGAGGCCCCCAGCTGACGCCCCAAAGGATCCAAAACTGCTCCGAAGAGACCCGAAAAAAGGCTTCCTGGGAACATTGACCCACACCCAAAGGCATGGTGGCGAGATGGGCCGAAAGCCGTTATACCAGTAATTTGTCATTGGTGCTCAAGCGCGCGATTTCGTCGAGTGGGGATCCGGGATCCGTAAATCTGGCAAGTGGGCGCGAGCGCCACGGATCGGGGATGCCCCCCCCCGCCGCAGGGCGCATCGTTTGCGTCATTACTTGCGACCGCTCTTATTCTACGCTGTTGTTCGGTTAGTATATCGTCCTCTTGACCTTGCCGTAACTCCCTCCAGGTAAGTGTGTTGCTCATTTTGATTTTCTCTCTCTCTCTCTCTCTCTCTGTATTGCTCTCCCTCTCTCTCCCGCTCTCTCCTTTCTCTCTCATTCTCGCTCCAGAAACACTTGCAGCTCTGGCTAGACAAAGATTCCGAGTGGAACCATGCGCAACAAAGATCTTAATCTAACCCTCCAGAACAGGAGTCCTATTGTAATCCTCAACCAAAGGAGTCCCAGTACAGCACTCCACATATGAGTTTCTATGTTAATCCACCACAAAACGCATCCTGTGGTAATCCCGAACAAAAAGAATTCGAGTGTAATTGCCACCGGAAGGAATCCTATTGTAATCCCTCACAAGAGGAGTAAATAGCTCAAGGGAAGCTCATGTTCGGTAACCGGTTGCCGTCAACTTCAATGGGAAAGAACCGACATCCATCGCCACATGTATTGATATTATCCATGCGTGCAACATCGAAATCAAAGCGGGGGACAACAACAACAAAAACGGTGAAACCTGAAACCAGAGCTTCCGTGGGCATGCACACGGCGGCCCCCCCCCCCCTCAACAAACATTGTCTTCCAAGGCTCTGTGGGATCTAGAGCTTCAGGGTTACAAGAAGACTCCTCTGGAGAGGATTACACTCGGATTCCTTTCATGGAGGAATACAATAAAAAGTCGATGTCGTGGAGTGTTGCAAAAGGATTCCTTCTGTGAAAGATGACAACTGGATTCCTTTCATGAGGGATTATATTAAAACTTCTTTGGAGCATTGCAAGGGCCTGTTCCTTTCTTGCTCGGGCCATAACGGGCGCTATGGCCCAAGGCCCCCCACCCCCGGCAAAACGTGACGACCCCCCCCAATGCGCCCCGGGCACTGCCGCCGTGCGCATCGGGATCCGCATAGGCGTCCGCATAGGAATCCGCATCAGGGTCCCGTCCGCATTGGGATTCTCATGGGGATCCGCATAGGGATGCGCATGCGCATCTGCATAGAGATCCGCATAGGAATCCGCGTAAGGATCCGCATATGGATTCGCATTGGGATTCGCATGGCAATGCGCATGGGCATCCGCATAGGCATCCGCATCGGGATCCGCATCGGGATCTGCAGAAGTATCCGCATAGGGATCCGCACAGGGATCCAGACTAGGGATCCGACTAGGGATCAGCATAGGGATCTGCACGGGAATCCGCATCGGGATTCGAATTTGTGACATTGTGTTCCGGGTGAAGGCGTTTCCTCCTCCTCCTCCTCCTCCTCCTCCTCCTCTTCTTCCTCCTATTCCTCCTCCTCCTCCTCCTCATTCTTCCTCCTCCTCCCCCTCTCTCCTCCTCCCCCTCCTCCTCCGCATCGCCATGTTTGGGCCCTAGTCGTGGCTCTTGCGCACACGTTCTGCGGTGCACACAGAAGCGCTACCATGACCTACCCTCCCCATGCCTTTCAATTCCTCTTTACGGGCGCTGTGGTGCGCGCAGTGGCCATGGCGTGCACGGGCGTCGTTGACTCAAAATGCAGGACTGCACGCAGGGCAACAAAAAACAATCATCACAATCAGCTCACATATTGAATTTGATCTGATCGGCCGCCCCCAAGATTTTCTGGGATTTGGTCCCGTCGGGACCCCAAGGGGTCCCAGAGGTGTACACAGGCCTTGTGGTGCGCACAGGCACTGTGGTGCACACAGATGGTGCTGAACTGGTCGTAGCTCGTGGCTCGTGCGCACCGGCGGCATTGTGGTGCACACGGAAGCGCAACCATTTTACCTCCCCCCCCACTTCTCCCCATTCCTTTTCATTCCGTCCTGGCCCCTACTGCTCCTGCCAGCATGATGTGCAATGTCCGACGCTCGTCGCTCGTCGTCGTCGACGTTGTCGTCGTCGTCGGTCGTCGCTCATCGTCGTCGTGCTCGCGGGAGCTGCTGTGGTGCCTGAGCCACACGGCGGGGGGTGCGTTACGTTATGCCCCCACCCCCGCCCCCCTCCATAACGCCCGTTATCGCCGCGAATAAAGAAACACGCTCCAATAGGATTCGTTTTGTGGAGGCTTGGAAAAAGGATTTCTTGTATGCAAGATTATGATAGGATTCCTTTGTCCTGGATGGTTGCAATCGGATTTTTCTTCTAGAATACCACAATCGGATTCCTCACGTGGGGGCTACAGTAGGATTCCGCTTGTGGAAGGTTGCTATATAATCTCCTCTGCGAAATATAGAACTCGGATTTCTTCTGCTGGGGGTTATTAGAGGAGTTCTTCTGTTCGGGGTTACACTTGCATTTCGTTTATGGAATATAGCAATCGGATTTGCAATGTGTAGGCTTACCAAGGTCTACCTTTTTTGCCCTGTGGGGGATTTCAAATGTATTCGATTCTGCCGTCGGGATGTACAATCCGATCGGTGTTTTATCTGCGTTGTGATCTGCGTTTTGTGGTCTCTGTTCCGTGGTTTCGGACCTGTGACCTATGTTACACACTCTGTGTTCTGTGTTCTTTGATGTGCGTTGCGTTCTGCGTTCTGTGGTCCCTGGTGTGCATATTGTATTGTGTGGCCCATATTGTTTCTGACATACGTTATGTATCATGTGTTCTGCGTGCTCTTGCTCAGTGGTCTGTGATATGTGATCCGTTCCCTGCGTTCTGTGCTCAGCGTCTCATGTTCTGCATTCCGTGCCCTGTTCGCTATGCTTTGTGTTCTGTGCGATTTGCTATGTAATATGTCTTATGTGTGTGTGTTGTGTTCTCCTTCCGTGGCTGCCCTGTGTTTTGTGTTCTGTGTTCTGCGCTCTGGGTTCTATGCTCTGTGCTCCCTGCTTGGCATTCAGTGCTCAGTACAGTAATATGTGTTATTTCTGCGCCATGCGTTCTGTGTTCGATGTGTTGTATCACGTGTTCTATGATCAGCATTGTATCTCGTGTGCGTCCTTGAAGCCTGTCTTCAACGTCATCTGATATGCAGCACGTGTTCGGTGTGGACTGTGTTCTGTGTTATGAACTCGGTGTTTTGTGTTCTGTGCCCACAAGTCTGTGTTCCGTGCTCAGAGTCCGGCGTCCTGTGATCAATGTCGTATGTTCTGCACTCTGTCTTCTCTCCCCGGTGCTTCGTGTATCGTGCGGTTCGCTGTGTGTTCTGTCTTAAATGCGCTGCGCTCTCTGCGTTCTGCGGTCTCTCTTCTGCCTCTTGTGCCTGTTACATCACATGTTACCTAACAGCTCTTGCTGATAGGTTTCTAGTGGTCTCAAAAGAGAGCATCATGACTCCTCAGGGGGGTGGGCGGGACCCGGACAGGCTGCCGGCGCGGCTGCCGCCGCACTCGTTTTTCGCAAACAGTCACACACTTCGTGCTCTTCGACCTCCCAGAACTCCATTCCCGGGCCACATTCTGGATGCCCGGAGCCAACTGTAAGCCACTTCGTGCTCTTCAAGTTCCCAGAACTCCATTCCCGGGCCACATTTTGAATGCCCGGAGCCAACTGTAGGCCACTTCGTGTCTTCAGTTCCCAGAACTCCATTCCTGGGCATGATTTTGAATGCCCGGAGCCAACTGTAGGCCACTTCGTGTTCTTCTAGTTCCCAGAACTCCATTCCTGGGCCACATTTTGAATGCTGAGGCAGGCTGATGCTGCGGCCGAGGCAGGCTGAGGCTGAGGCAGGCTGAGGCTGAGGCCGAGGCTGAAGGCAGACTGAGGCTGAGGCTGAAGCAGGCTGAGGCTGAGGCTGAGGCAGGCTGAGGCTGAGGCTGAGGCAGGCTGATGCTGAGGCAGGCTGAGGCTGAGGCTGAGGCTGATGCAGGCTGAGGCTGAGGCAGGCTGAGGCTGAGGCCGAGGCTGAAGGCAGACTGAGGCTGAGGCTGAAGCAGGCTGAGGCTGAGGCTGAGGCAGGCTGAGGCTGAGGCAGGCTGAGGCTGAGGCTGAGGCTGAGGCTGAGGCTGTGACTGCGACTGCCGTTGCCGCTGCGACTGTCGTCGCGAATGCGACTACGACTGCGAGAACAGCAGAATTCTACAACTGGATTTTCATCTGAATCTTAAGGGGAATGCTTTCAGATATGCTTCTACACATCGCTGTTAGGTTGCTTTGCCGGGATAATCATCTGAATCTTAAGGGGAATGCTTTCAGATATGCTTCTACACATCGCTGTTAGGTTGCTTTGCCGGGATAATTACCTAACAGCTCTTGCTGATAGGTTTCTAGTGGCCTCAAAAGAGAGCATCATGACTCCACAGGGGGGTCTGGGCGGGACCCGGACAGGCTGCCGCCGCGGCTGCCGCCGAAGCCGAAATCGCTTGGGACATCCTCGCAAAATCGCTCTTGGTGCTCCCAGAACTCCATTCCCGGGCCACATTTGGGATGCCCGGAGCCAACTGTAGGCCACTTCGTGCTCTTCGACTTCCCAGAACTCCATTCCCGGGCCACATTTTGGATGCCCGGAGCCAACTGTAGGCCACTTCGTGCTCTTCGATTTCCCAGAACTCCATTCCCGGGCCACATTTTGGATGCCCGGAGCCAACTGTAGGCCACTTCGTGCTCTTCGACTTCCCAGAACTCCATTCCTGGGCATGATTTTGAATGCCCGGAGCCAACTGTAGGCCACTTCGTGTTCTTCTAGTTCCCAGAACTCCATTCCCGGGCCACATTTGAATGCTGAGGCAGGCTGATGCTGCGGCCGAGGCAGGCTGAGGCTGAGGCAGGCTGAGGCTGAGGCCGAGGCTGAAGGCAGACTGAGGCTGAGGCTGAAGCAGGCTGAGGCTGAGGCTGAGGCAGGCTGAGGCTGAGGCTGAGGCAGGCTGATGCTGAGGCAGGCTGAGGCTGAGGCTGAGGCTGATGCAGGCTGAGGCTGAGGCAGGCTGAGGCTGAGGCCGAGGCTGAAGGCAGACTGCTGAGGCTGAAGCAGGCTGAGGCTGAGGCTGAGGCAGGCTGAGGCTGAGGCTGAGGCTGAGGCTGAGGCTGAGGCTGACTGTGACTGCCGTTGCCGCTGCGACTGTCATCGCGAATGCGACTACGACTGCGAGAACAGCAGAATTCTACAACTGGATTCTCATCTGAATCTTAAGGGAATGCTTCCAGATATGCTCCTACACATCGCTGTTAGGTTGCTTTGCCGGGATAATTTTTACCTAACAGCTCTTGCTGATAGGTTTCTAGTGGTCTCAAAAGAGAGCATCATGACTCCTCAGGGGGGTCTGGGCGGGACCCGGACAGGCTGCCGCCGAGCTGCCGCCGAAGCCGAAATCGCTTGGGACATCCTCGCAAAATCGCTCTTGGCGCTCCCAGAACTCCATTCCCGGCCACATTTTGGATGCCCGGAGCCAACTGTAGGCCACTTCGTGCTCTTCGACTTCCCAGAACTCCATTCCCGGGCCACATTTTGGATGCCCGGAGCCAACTGTAGGCCACTTCGTGCTCTTCGAGTTCCCAGAACTCCATTCCTGGCATGATTTTGAATGCCCGGAGCCAACTGTAGGCCACTTCGTGTCTTCTAGTTCCCAGAACTCCATTCCTGGGCCACATTTTGAATGCTGAGGCAGGCTGATGCTGCGGCCGAGGCAGGCTGAGGCTGAGGCAGGCTGAGGCTGAGGCCGAGGCTGAAGGCAGACTGACGAGGCTGAAGCAGACTGAGGCTGAGGCTGAGGCAGGCTGAGGCTGAGGCTGAAGCAGGCTGATGCTGAGGCAGGCTGAGGCTGAGGCTGAGGCTGATGCAGGCTGAGGCTGAGGCAGGCTGAGGCTGAGGCCGAGGCTGAAGGCAGACTGAGGCTGAGGCTGAAGCTGAGGCTGAGGCTGAGGCTGAGGCAGGCTGAGGCTGAGGCTGAGGCAGGCTGAGGCTGAGGCTGAGAGGCTGACTGCGACTGCCGTTGCCGCTGCGACTGTCATCGCGAATGCGACTACGACTGCGAGAACAGCAGAATATACAACTGGATTTTCATCTGAATCTTAAAGGGAATGTTTTCAGATATGCTTCTACACATCGCTGTTAGGTTGCTTTGCCGGGATAATTTACCTAACAGCTTTTGCTGATAGGTTTCTAGTGGTCTCAAAAGAGAGCAGCAGATGACTCCACAGGGGGGTCGGGGCGGGGCGGGACCCGGACAGGCTGCCGCCGCGGCTGCCGCCGCACTCGTTTTTCGCAAACAGTCACACACTTCGTGCTCTTCGACCTCCCAGAACTCCATTCCCGGGCCACATTCTGAATGCCCGGAGCCAACTGTAGGCCACTTCGTGCTCTTCGAGTTCCCAGAACTCCATCCTGGGCCACATTTTGAATGCCCGGAGCCAACTGTAGGCCACTTCCCAGAACTCCATTCCCGGGCCACATTTTGGATGCCCGGAGCCAACTGTAGGCCACTTCGATTCCCGGGCACATTTTGAATGCCCGGAGCCAACTGTAGGCCACTTCGTGCTCTTCGAGTTCCCAGAACTCCATTCCCGGGCCACATTTTGAATGCTGAGGCAGGCTGATGCTGCGGCCGAGGCAGGCTGAGGCTGAGGCAGGCTGAGGCTGAGGCCGAGGCTGAAGGCAGACTGAGGCTGAGGCTGAAGCAGGCTGAGGCTGAGGCTGAGGCAGGCTGAGGCTGAGGCTGAGGCAGGCTGATGCTGAGGCAGGCTGAGGCTGAGGCTGAGGCTGATGCAGGCTGAGGCTGAGGCAGGCTGAGGCTGAGGCCGAGGCTGAAGGCAGACTGAGGCTGAGGCTGAAGCAGGCTGAGGCTGAGGCTGAGGCAGGCTGAGGCTGAGGCAGGCTGAGGCTGAGGCTGAGGCTGAGGCAGGCTGAGGCTGAGGCTGTGACTGCGACTGCCGTTGCCGCTGCGACTGTCATCGCGAATGCGACTACGACTGCGAGAACAGCAGAATTCTACAACTGGATTTTCATCTGAATCGTAAGGGGAATGCTTTCAGATATGCTTCTACACATCGCTGTTAGGTTGCTTTGCCGGGATAATGTGTTTCTGAAAGGTACTCTGCGTTGTGTATTCAATGTTGCGTGTTTGTGCTCAAGGTTCTGTGACCCGTTCTCTGTGTTCTGTGCTCAACGCCTTAGGTTCTGCAATCCGTGTGCGACGCACCAGAGGGGAACAGGCGCGAGCGTGCCAGCTAAGCGCCAGAGAAACTGGCTGATGGCGGCAGCTTGCAAAGCCCCCTTTACTATGCAAGTGCTACATGTGTTGTCTTCGCGACGTGCGTGCTTGAAACAAACGTGCGACTTAAACAATTGCTCAAGTTTAAAGGGTTTCAGCGGTTCCGCCGACCCCCCGCGGCGACGCTCGACTGACTGCAAACGAAGGGCAAAGCTTGAATTTGCATTGCGTGTGCATTGCGTGTGAATCACTTTTCCAGCAGAGGAGATTGCGAGGGAAGGGAGAGGGGAGGGAGGAACATATATTGAGGAGGGAGAGGGAGGGGGGAGGGGAGAGGAGGGTGGACGACCAAGATGGTAAGATGTGACACTTCGTAGCCTCAGGCTCCAGAGAGCAGTCTAATGCGTGGCCACTCTCTTGCTGCAATCGCACACACGATGCACCGCATCGCCCCCCCCCCCCTCCTTGTGTAAAATGAGGCCACTGCAGCCTCGTTTGGCGATTCCGTATGGACACCGGGACCCGTCCCAAATCCACGCGTCCGATCTACAGGTCCATCGCGTGCCGCCTCCCCCCGCCTCTTCAATCTCCGTGTGTTCCCCCCCTCCCCAGCGACGGGGGAGAGGGAGGCACGAGGCGGACCTGTAACTACAGCTGTCCTTCCTCGAGCCAGCAGACCTGGAAGGTGAGCGCACCCTGGGCTTGGCTGGGGCCTCGCCCCGAAGGGACACAGTCTCGAATCAGTCTGGGCAGGGTTCCCGGGGGGGGGGGGGAGATCTTCAGCCAGACCACAGGGGAGGGGACGAGCAAGGCATGGTCTGGGCTCTCCAAGGAGAAATTCGTAACCATCCCTCTGAACCGAGACATCCAACGATGAGTTTTGTGTTATCACCCATCGCCCCCAAAGCTCCCGATCCCTCCCGCGGGGGTAGTTCTGCGTTGTGGAAAAATGTTTGCGAACCCCGCGGGTTTCGGTGGCAAGCCCCAAAAAGCCGAAATCGGAAACATGGATCGAACGAGGACACGCCGCTGGAGATCGGGTGAACTCCTGCCGTCCTGGTCGGATCAAGCACCCCTGTCCCCCGACCGAAGGAACCACAAAGGTATCGACGCCGCTGCTCCACGGACCCCTCTCGGTGCGAGCTCTGACCAAGACCCTGCGGCGAACCCAGCCGCAGCGACGATGGCCTTCCACGGAATTGAGCAGGGACTGACCGTCCCGGCATTCCTGTAGTCATACCACGAAATGTTCTCAGAACCCCAAAAATGTTCTAAGAACAATAAACAATGTTCTTAGAACATAAACCCGATGTGTTCAAACAAGACAGTCCCAGCCAAAACTGTTCGAAGAACATTTCGTGGGAACCACAACAGGTTCTTAGAACATTGTTTGGTGGGGCTATAAGCGAGCCGGGACGCTTCGCCACTGCTTGACGGAGGGCAGCGGCATCGGCAGCTCTTCCTGCCCGGACGCATGGCCAGCGCAGCGCCGCCGCGGCCAGCGCAGCGCCCACGGCCCGTCGCCCCATGCGCCCTGCACGCGGGAGGTGCCGCCGAGCTCCCGGGCGTTCCCCAGGACGTCCTCCTCGCGGCCTCCGCTGGGCGCGGCTCGAGAAACGGGCCAGATGGGCCCCGCTGGGAGGGGGGTCCGCGGATCGACTCTGGCTTGAGCAGGTGCTCGGCGACCCCCCTCGCGTCGCGGGGCGGAGGGGGGGGCCTAGGCCTATGCACTTGTTGGGCTGCACGAAGGCGTCGGGGATGCCCCTCGGGGCTGTCACCGCCCCACCGCGAGCGCCGCCACCCGGGAGAGCCCGTGGGCCAGCGCGGCGGGGGCAGCGGGTTCGCGCCCATGGGGTCGGGGATCGTCTGACCCGGGTCAATCCAGACCCGGGTCATCAAGGCCTTGCAAACTCCTGGAAGGTCCCGCAGGATCCTGGACCCAAGCCCGGGCCAATGCCAAAGATCCTGCAAGATCCTGCAGGATCCTGCAGCCCGGGTCAGTGCGCCCCTGGCCCTGCAGGATCCTGCAAGATCGGGCGCTCTGGCTGACCCCCGTTTGCATTGACCCCCCGTCTCAAGGCTCCCGATGGGGGATGCGCCTGCGTGTGCGTCCAGGCCTCTTGGCCCCCGCCGGTCACCCCGGAGGGCCTGGGCGGGCCAGGTGAGCGCGTGCGGCGCTGCGCTCTCCTCGGGGCCTGCCCCCCACGCAGGGCGAGCCTCGCAACCCCCCCCCCACCCCCCCGGGGCCGAGGCGGCGGAGAAGGAGGAGGAGGAGGAGGAGGAGGAGGAGTTTTCACGAGAGGGCGCCGGGCGGTCGGGGCGGGCTGGGCAGACTGAGCCTGAGCAGGAAGGGAGGGGGAGGGTGAGGTGGGGGGGGAGGAGGAGGAGAGGACAGAGAGGAGGAGGAGGAGGAGGAGGAGAGGAGGAGGAGGAGGAGGAGGAGGAGGAGGAGGGAGGAGGAGGAGGAGGAGCAAGGGGATGAGGAGAGCAAGGAGGAGGAGGAGCGAGGGAGGAGGAGGAGAGGAGGAGGAGCAGTGAGGGAGAGGAGGAGGAGGAGGAGGAGGGGAGGGAGGAGGAGGAGGAGGAGGAGGAGGGAGGAGGAGGAGAGGGAGGGGGAGATGGCCAGGAATTCTGGATGAGGGGGGGAGAGGGGAGGAGGAGGAGGAGGAGGAGGAGAGAGGATAGGAGGAAGAGGAAGGGAGGAGGAAAAGGGGTAGGAAGAGGAGGAGATAATCCATTCTCACACGACATCGTCAATATCCCTTCACAAAAGAGAGCAATATTAAAAAAATCCCCCACATCCAACCCGAACAACACAGAAAAATAAGAAAAAAAACCCCAACCCCCCCACAAGTCGTTAATTATAGAATGGGGGAAGGGAGGTGGCCATCTCCCCCAAATGGGGGGGGGTCTCCCCTTCTTGCGCGGCCTCTGGATGATGAGCCCCGCGGCACACGCCCGATGTCAGTGGAGCGTGGAAAAGGGGGTCAGGCGGCCCGATGCTGATTCAATCCGCTCAGCGCGAGTGGCGCGCGCGCCCAGGATATCGTGGGTGAGCTGACCAAGTTCGACATCATCGGCCTTGTTGGCACGTGGAAGATGGGCCGCGGGCCCAGATGTTGGTGGGAGCGACAGAGAGGGCAGGCCAGTTCTACTCAGTCGAGTGGGGATGGTTCTCCTCACCGCATGTGAAGAAGTCGTGTGGGCTGCAGGCGTGGCGTCATGGCAAGAAGGAGCGGGGAGGGGGAGGGGGGAGGCAAGCTAGGTGCGCTCGAGTCATATCTGACGTCCTACCCCTCCCTCCTATCCCTTACCTTTGCACTTGTTCGCATTTGCTTGCGTTGCGCTGCATAGCTCTACATTGCTTTGTATTGCCTTGCGTTGCATGGCTTTGTGCTGCATAGTTAGATCGTGCCACATACATTGCACCACGTAGATTGCACCGCATATATTGCAAGAGATCACTGTTTGGGGTCCTCGCTGGCTATGTAATATTTCGGCCTCTGAGACGAATCGTCGGGGCCAGGGACAATCAAAACGGGATCCAGGACGAAACACTGCCCTTAGGGAAAGGGTCTGGGCCCCTTGGCCGCGGGATTGAACAACTCATGCCGTCGAATGTCTGGGGAGGAGTCCAGATGGTGGACGAGGGCGAACGAAAGGACGCGGAGAAGAGGGGGAGGAAGTCGAACAGATGGACGGGTGGCGGAGCATGGAGAATGGAGAGCAGAGGAGGGGGGAGGACGAAAAGACAGGATGAGGAGGATTAAGGTTGGCGGAGAGCCCGGGGGGGAAGAGAGAAGGGGAAGGCCTTCTCAGAACGAGAAGACCTTCTCAGAAGGCTCCGAAGCCCCCCCCCGGGTCCCTCGGGGCCCTTCTAAGCAGTGTTCTATGCAAGCCTTCCCAGAAGACACAGAGAACTTCTCAGGAGGCGCGAGGGCTCCTGAGAACAGCCCAGCCGCCTCCTGAGAAGGCCTCCTCCTTCGCATCTCCCCCCCCTCGCTCGCCGCTGGTCTGAGAGGGCACGGTGAGGGCATGGGATAAGGAACCACTGGAGAAGGAATCCAGGGTCTGGAGGCTGGTGGAACTCCAGTCGTGGATCGGCCAAGGATCTCACAGCCCCCTCAATCACATAAGGAATCCTCCCGGGTCTGCAGCCCTCTGGGCACATTCTTTAACTCACGTCTCCACCGTACATAGAAGCCTCCTGGATGGGGTCGGAGTAGATGGGGCCAGAGGATTGCACAGCATCGCCGATGCGTCGGCGATACATCGTCGATGCATCGGCGATGCATCGGCGATGCATCGGCGACGTCGGCGTGAAGAAAATTGGGATCCACATCGAGCCGCACCGCCGATGCATCGGCGATGCGGCGCGATCCTCCGACCCCGTTTAGGAGGCCTAGAGTTAAGTCGGGCCTGTCCCCCTACAGGGGGATTTTGGACGACAGATAAAAGATACCCCGACGAAAACTCCCAAATGGTCAAACATTCAGTCCCCAAACTATTTCTTGACTATGTTTGAATATTCCTCCTGTAGAGGGACACTGACGCTTTGTGGGCCCCGGAAACGGCAGGGCCGTTGTTTTCATCGTTTCCAGAAAAATGTCCCTTGAAAATGGAAGCGGCCAAAAACGGCGACCGGAAACGGCAAACAAACGGCTCCAGGATTGGAACCGGAGCCGGAACTGGTCAAAAAACGGCGACGGAACCGGTAAAAAAACGGCCCTGTCGTTTCCAGGGCCCACTAAGGTGACACGCCCGACGTAGGCCTAGAGCACGAGAGGAGGAGCAGCTGCAGCAGAGGAGGAGCAGAGCGCAATGTGGCCAGAGGCACGGCGCCGCGCCTGCGGATATGCCGACCTCCAGGGGGGGGGGGGGGGGGCAGGGGCGGCGCGGGGCGCGCGAGGTCGGGGGCCAGCCGCCTCTGGGCGAAAGGCCTGCGAGGGGTGGGGGAGGGGGAAGGGGAGCAGCAGGAGGAGGACGGAGAGGTAGGAGGAGGAGGAGGAGGTGGAGGAGGAGGAGGAGGAGTTTTTGTGAAGGAGGAGAGTTGAAGAAGGTGGAGAGGAGGAGGAGGAGGAGGAGGAGGTGGAGGAGGAGGAGGTTGTGAAGGAGGAGGAGGAGGAGGAGGAGGAGGAGGAGGAGGCGAAAGGAGGGCCGGCGTTTATGAAGCAAATCGTGGCATCGGTGGGGTGGGATGGGAGGCGGGGGGCAGGACACACCAGGTGGGAGGTGGATAGGGGGCGGGATTGGTGGGAGGTGGGAAGGGAGGTGGTGGGGTGTGGAAGGTGGGATGGGGGGGATGGGTTTGGGATGGGGTGGGGTGGGAGGGGGGGGATCGGACGCGATAGGGGTGAGGCGACGCCAGCAGAAGGGTGCGTCCAGGCCAGGCTGCCCGAGCGCACTCTGCATGATGCGCAGAGCCAGCGATCCACCGCCCAGGGTCCAGGACCCTCCTACGCAGGCGGAGGAGCGGGCGAAGAAGGAGACGGAGGAGGGGGAGGAGGAGGAGGAGGAGGAGGAGGAGGAGTGAGGAGGAGGAGGAGCGAGGAGGAGGAGGGGTAGGAGGCGGAGGAGGTGAAAGGAGAGAGGGAAGGAGGAGGAGGAGGAGGAGAAGGAGTAGGCGGAGGAGGGGGGGAGGAGGAGGAGGGGAGAGTAGGGTGAGAGGGGAGGAGGAGGAGGGGAGGAGGAGGAGGTGGGGAGGAGGAGGAGGAGGAGGAGGCGGAGGAGGAGGAGGAGGAGAAGGGAGGAGGGGGGGGGGAGGGAGGAGGCGGAGAGGAGGAGGAGGAGGAGGAGGTGAGAGTAGGAGGAGGAGAATAGGAGGAGGAGGAGGAGGAGGAGGAGGAGGAGGGGAGGAGGGAGGAGGAGGAGGAGGAGGTGGAGGCAGGAGGAGGAGGAGGAGGAGGAGGGGGCGGAGGAGGAGGAGGAGGAGGAGGAGGAGGAGGAGGAGGAGGAGGAGGAGGAGGGAGGAGGAGGAGGAGGAGGAGGGACGTGGTGGAGGAGGAGGAGGAGGAGGAGGAGGTGGAGGAGGTGGAGGAGGAGGAGGAGGGGAGAGTAAGGAGGAGGAGGAGGAGGAGGAGGAGGAGGCGGACGGGGGAAGCGGCGAGGAGGGGGAGGAGGAGGGCAGGAGAGCCCGGAATCGAATCGACAAAGTCGGATCGGCGGTCGACATGCATCGGATCCGCGGAGATCGGCAGCCAAGTCGGGAGAAGTGAGTTGGCGGAGATCGGAAGGCGAACAAGGCCTCCATGGCCAAATCGGAGTCCAAATCGGGATCCGAAACGGATTCGAATCGGAATCGGGATCCGTCGGAATTGAATCGAATCGAGTCGGAGAAGTTAGAATGAGCCCTGTGAGGGGCAGGAGGAGGAAGCGCAGAGAAGGCGGACCACGAAGGACTCCGCCGCCAGCGGTATCAAGATCAGCCACATGGCAATCACGCTCCTCGGCGAGACGGCCAAGCTGATGAGCCAGACGAGCACGGAGGCAGAAGGCAGAGGTGACGCTGACGTGGGGGGAAGGGGGGAGGGGAGGACAGCTGACGACAAGCACACACGGAGGCCACGATGTCTAGGGTGCCTCTACTTGAATTGGCCCTTGGGCGAGGGAGGACAGAGGAGGAGGAGGCGCAGCGTTGAATCCCTGAGTCATCCGCAGGGAGCCTCAAGAACGGCTCGGCCCGACGAGCGACCCCTCCCTGGCGCCGAGAGGGGGGCCGGGGCCGAGGGGCGCGGGCTGCGCGCCGCGACGAGGAGAGGAGGCCGAGGAGCGACGCGGGCGGCGGGTGGGGGGAGGACAGGGAGGGAGGGAGGAGAGGGACGGCGGGCGATGTGCAGGAGGCCACGTGCCAGCACCCCTCGATCTCCAAGGGGGGAAGTGCGGCTCTTTCGTCGTTCGGGACCTCCCGGGCGACGTGAGCCCCACCCCGCCCCTTCTAGAAGTCGCGGGGTGGTGGTTCGCGCGTGGCCACGGCCGCGTGGAGGGAGGCGGGCAGGGCGGAAGGAGGGCCGCGCGCGAGAGCGAGTGCGGGAGGGGGGGGGCGGCGGTGGAGAGGCGGAGCAGGAGGAGAGGCGGGAGGAGAGCGGAGGGGATCTTTTATACGTGCCGAACGCGGGGAGTGTGCTGTCCGTGGGGGGGGTGGGGGGCGGGGGGAAGGGGGGGAGGAGGAGGAGGAAGGAGGGAGGAGGAGGGAGGGGAGGGGGAGGAGGAGGAGGAGGTGGAGGAGGCTGGGAGGCGGAGGCGGAAGAGGGATGGCGGAGGCCGGAGGAGGCGGAGGAGGTGGAGGAGAGGAGGAGGAGGTGGGAGCAGGAGGAGGCGGGAGGAGGAGGAGGCTGAGGAGGAGGAGGGGTGAGAGGAGGAGGAGGACGGAGGGCAGAGGAGGATGAGGGGAGAGTGAGAACGTGGCAAACGAACGAGAGGGATGGTAGGAGGAAGATGAGAGGAGGAGGAGGAGGAGGAGGAGGAGGAGGAGGAGGAAGACGAGGAGGAGCGAGTGGGGAGAAGGTGAACGAGGGATGAGGGTGGAGTAAGCGGATGAGGAAGAGAAGGAGGAGGAGGAGAAGGAGGGGGAAGAGGAGGAGGAGGAGGAGGAGGAGGAGGAGGAGGAGGAGGAGGAGGAGGAGGAGGAGGAGGAGGAGGAGGAGGAGGAGGAGGAGGGGGGCGGAAAAAAGGCGAACAGAAGAGCCAGAGGCCTCTTGAATGCCTCTCGGAGTCTCCTCGGATGTCGCTCGGAAGCTTTCTGGGAGGCGTCCCGGGGCGTCCGGGGGGGCATCTTGGTAGGCCCAGGGCCGTCTTTGGGCGTCTTGGGTGCCTCGGGGAACCTCCTGAGGCCTCTTGCGGGCTTCGTGGGAGCCTCTTGGGGGCCCTTTGGGCACCTCTTGGAGCCGTCTGGGCGCCTCTTGGGTTCCTCTGTCTTGGGGCGTTCTTAAGGGAGCTTTAGGGGAGCTCCTGGAGCCATCTTGGAAGACATCGATACCAAAAAGAGGGAAGCTTCAATTAGCCCTGCCCTTCTAGAGTGCCCAACGTTGCCTCTTCGGGCGCTCTCGGAGCGCTCTGGGGCGCTCTTGGGGCGGTCTTGGGCTCTCTTGGGCCCCTCATGGGGCCCTCTTGGACCATCTTAGAGCCATCTTAAGGCCTTGGATGGCCATCGGAAGCGAAATGGCGAGAAAGCCAAACACATTGATGTTCTTTGGTCTTGAAGGATGTTGATCTTTGGGGGGACTCCTTGGGGAACTCGTTTCGGCACTTGGAGCCGCCTTGAGGAGGTCTTTGGGCCTCTTGAAGCATCTTGGAAGCCATCTTGAGCGATCTTGCGCTATATCTGGAGTCATCTTGAAGGCCATCTTGCACTCTCTGACGCCCTCTTGGAGCCATCTTGGGTCTTCTTGGACGCTCCAACTACCCTTGACCGCCCCCGTCCAAGCCCAGGGGAGGGAATGAGGAGGAGGGGCAAACCCCGCCCCGAAGAGGCAGAAGGGGTCTGCAAGAGGAAGCTCCCCAGACCAGCCACGCCCAGAAGGCTGGTGGGATTCCAGAGGTCGTATCTCTGGGCACGTGGCCGCATGCTCGCGTCGGCGACAAGAACGGGCCCCGCGTCCCCACAGGGGCTCGCCGCCCAGGGGCCCAGGCTGCGAGGCCGTGGCTCCGAACGCGTGGTTCTCGCCCCCCTTCGGTTTCGAAAGGCTCTTGTCGACGCCTTTTCGGGAGTCACGAACCGTAGGGGTCTAAACTTTCCAGCCGCCCTGGGACAGGCGCCCCCGACAGCGAAAAAGTTTCTGTTATACCGTTCTTCGCTCGCTGAGAGACAGGGTGCAAGCGCCAGAGGGACGCCAAGCTGCGGCGTGCGCATGGATGCGCTCGCCGCTCCTGAGCTTGGGGGGGGGCAGCAGCAGCCCCCGGCGTGTGCGGGGCTCGGGGCTGCCTGCGTCCGAGGCCTGGGCACACACGACATCGTGCCCCCAGAGGCCTACAAGAAGAGAACACGGCACACACAGAAACGTCTGGCGCTCTGCGCGGATTTCTTGGATCCGCGCTGGCCCCCTCTCCCTGACGCGCGGAGCGCGCCAGGGGCGACGCTGGAGGCGCCGCTGGGGGGGCCCAGCGCGGATTCAAAGTTTATGTTTAGAGCCTCTATCTCTTCGCCATGTACACGAAATCGTGCCCCAGAATCTGGGCTGCGACGGCGTGGACGTGGATGCGTTCGCCACTCGTCAGCAGCAGCAGCCCCGTCTCCGAGGCTGGACGCGGGGGAGGAGGAGGAGGAGGAGGAGGAGGAGGAGGAGGAGGAGGAGGAGGAGGAGGAGGAGGAGGAGGAGGAGGACCAGTGTAAACCCAAGAGTCAGCAACGATGTTGGAGTAAACCCTCCCTCCAAGCTCCCTCATCACAGACCCCCTACAACGGTTCATTTCAACTGATGGAACTGCCTCGTTGGAAGACACCCGTTTGAAGACCCTGAAGCATGCCAAAACATTGTTCTCGGGATGCCAACGCCACGGATCAACATGACTGTTGCGTCTTGACGATCCTGAATCGTGCCAGAACGCCATTCCTAGGACTTCAACACAAAGAACCAACGTGATTGTTGCACCCTTGTAACTCTAAATCCCTCCGAAACACCATTTCTGGTACGTAGATGATGGGAATCCGTGAAACTCTTGTAAATATTGACGAACGAAAACCACATTTTGAAAACCACCCGCCGTCAATCCGTGAAACTCTTGCAATTTATCTAAACGACTGTGCGCCGCACTACAGCGAGGGCCACATTGTGAAAACCACCACCCGCCCTCAACCCGTGACGCTCTTGCAAATTTTGAAAACGAGTGGGCGCCGCGCTAAGGCGAGAGCCACATTTTGAAAACCACCCGCCCTCAATCCGTGAAACTCTTGCACATGTTTAAAGCGAGCGTGCGCCGCGCCAAGGCGAGAACTATATTTTGAAAACGACCCGCCCTCAATCCGTGAAGCTCTTGCATTTTTGTTTTGATGCATATATATATACACATATAGGAATAAATACAAATGTGCGCGGCGCTAGGGCGACAGCCACATTTTGAAAACCACCCGCCCTCCATCTGCGAAGCTGCTGTCAATTTTGACGCTTCAGAATCATAAATGGTAAGGAAGTCTCGGGCGAAACGCCCGGCCCGCCCTACAAACTGGCCTCGGGGTGCGACGGGGAGAAATTATTTCTAAGGAAAAAGAATGGAGGGTCGAAGACTAGGAGGAGAAGGAGGAGGAGGAGGAGGAGCAGCAGCAGCAGCAGCAGAAGGGGGGAGGGCAGCAGCAGCAACCCTGGCGGGGCCCGCGGGGCCCGTGGGGCGCCGGAGGAGCGCCCGCCAGCGCGAGCGGCAGCAGCAGCGGCAGCGCCGCCATAGGTGCGCCTCTCTTGGAGCGCCGGGGGCTTCGGTCTGTTCAGGGGAACAAAAAATTACATAAACATAAAAACTCGGAGGTCCGCGCAAATTTCTCGGATCGGCGCTGACCCCCCTCCCTGGCGCGCGGAGCGCGCCAAGGGCGGCGCCAGAGGCGCCGCCGGGGGGTCCCAGCGCCGATCCGAGAAATCTGCGCGGACCTCAGAGTTTTTATGTTTATGTCACTTTTTGTTCCCCTACTGTTCTTGCACTCGCCACCGCTCGGACGTCTACAGTCGGCCCGTATCAGAAGGATGCGCGATAAGGATGCAAGTGCCTTGGACGCCCATGTCGAAGCTTTACGAGCTGGGCGCGGCCAACGAGAGTGGCCAAGGATAGACCGAGGAGGCAAGGGTGTGAGGGTACCCTTGGGAAGATTGCCCATCCATACTGGTTGACTGTAGTTTCGCAGGATGCTCCAGGCTGCTCCTCGATGGTATTCGCCGACGAACAAAACGCACACGTCCCAGCGATGCCGAGTGCAGCTGAGCTTCAGCTCAAGGTGTAAAAATGAGCTTCGAGTAATGAGGCTGTTCTGGTTACACTAACTGTCCTGCATGCTGTTGCGCGCGGTGCGCTTTCGATGCTTTCCCAGCGCACGCTTCCGCAGAACAGAGTTCACAATATGATCCTAGTTCAATGGTGCACTTGTGATGCACGTTTGGTGGAATTTGCATGCACTTGATCAAAGTCCACAAGTACGATGATGCTCTTTTCACTCACTTGTGGTTCACTTGCGCAAGACGTGCACCACGTGAGTGGCGTAGTACATGTTAGGTGCACTTGCGCCAAAACTGACCACCACGGCGGTGCACTTCACGGCAGTTCCACGCAAACGGCACCACTACGATTATGTCAGAGTGGGGGGGAGCCTAGTTGCGTGTCTGAAATGGGATCCTGCGATGCGGATTCTTCGTGTTGTCGTCGTCGTCGTCCACGACCCGCTTTCGACCAATCCCCGACCCACCCGCGAGCCACCCGCGCTTCGCGGGCATCTCTTCCGCGCAGCACTGCAAGCCTCTCCTTCTTCTCCTTCTCCTCCTCCTCCTCCTCGTCCTTCCTCTTCCTTCTTCCTCCTCCTTCTCCTTGTAACCTGTCTCGAGTACTTGGTCGCATTTGACCGCGACGTCTCAAAAACTTGCTCGAGACTCGACACAGTTGACAAGCTTTTGACCAAGTTCCCGACACAGACGATAAAGAACAGGAAGAGGAAGGAGGAGAAGCGCACGGTGTTGTGCGGCGGAGATGCCCGCGACACGCGGATGGGTCTCCCGTGGGTCGCGAGCGCATCAACGATAAACCAATGACAGAGCATACCGGGACGCGGGGCGACGACGACAACACAACGGCAAGAATCGACACCTCAGGGCCCCACTTCAGCCACGCATCCAGGGCGTGCATAGGACTGTGAAACAAGTCGGTCTGTCATTCTAAATATGGGAAGCAACAGTTGCATCAGAAGTAATGGAGCGAACGAATACGAACAACGATTGGTGAAGTGCACCGGACAGCAAGTGCACTTTTTCCAAAACGACACATCGAAGTACACAGAAAAGAGCACACATAGAAACACAGCTCAAAACAAGCAATAATCAGTCAAGCTGATTTGTAAAGCTCACAACGTAGCTTGCATCTAGCATTGAAGCTGCATCGCGACCATCTATCTTAAACGGAGATCGGCCGCCGTGTCTGCACCGATTAGGCGTCTTGTAATGCTCGGCTGTTGCCAGAGAGGTCTCTTTAGTTTGCTTCTGATGATGCCCACCCACCCTCACCCCGCGCGTGGTCATGAGATCGCCCCGCCCTGAACTGACTCTCCGCAGTTCTTCTTGATCACCAGACGGCCAAGACGATATCCAAGATGGGTTTAAAGAGAGCCAGAAGATGACACCAGGACGGCCCGAGACTGCCCAAGACGGCTCGGGAGGCCTCCAAGACGGCCCAGGAAGGCCAACAAGATGGCACAGGAGGGCTCGAAGAGGCCCTTCATGACAGCCCGAGGAGGCAAAGGCCACTCTTGCCATGGGCCTCCGCGGCTCCCAGGCGCAAGCTGGGGGCCGCGGGCGGCGAGCCGACGCTCACCCCTTAGACGCCTTTCTGGACGGCCGCGGCTGCGGGCCACAGCCAGACCCGCCGGACCGCAGCGCCTGCAGAGCTACTCTGTGGCGAGTGGCCTCCGGAACTCGGGCCTGAGGTGCTCCACAGCGAGCATCCATTCGGTCGCCGAGCCTGGGTGACTCGATTCCATTGCTCCAGGGGGCGTGCCACTTGCGGTGGTCGCTGGCGCTGAGAACCCTTGTGGCTTCACACCTGATTCCTGGCCTTCAGCTCGTCGCTGAACGGCCCGGCACGACGGCCAATGTTGCTGATCGGGCCTCCGTGGGCCAGGTCGGACCACTCGTGGTGCGTTGCCAAGCGCAAACCTTCAAAGCGGACATGTGATGAGTTGGGCTGTTCGACGCGGCCGCGTCCCAGACCCCAGACGTCCCTGGGCGTGCGGCTACCGCACGTCTGCAGGCTCCTATTTCAGCCGGACTGGGGGGGGGCGTATCATTAGGTCGGGCGTGTCCCCCTACAGGCGGATTTTTTGGACGAACAATACAAATAGTCAAAACATATAGTTTTTGAGTACTCCTCCTGTAAAGGGACACGCCCGGCTTGAGCGTATCACCCCCAGCAGTTTCAGACGCACCCGCCGCCACCTGTGCAGGCCCGGCTGAGGCCATCACGCTTCCCCACGCGCAGCTGGACAGCTGAGCTCTCGTGCGCACGGACGCTGAATGCCTTCTTACCGCCATGGTAGGTACTCACCCCTTGCTGCGCGCTTCAGGGCTCCCTCTCAGGAGTATTTTCCTCCTTGGCGCATGCAGTCGGAGAGCTGGGACCTTCTATTCCCCGCAACTCTCGAAGTACCTGTCCTGAGAAGGCCTTTACACCAGGCTGCGTGTTGTCCTTTTACACTCCGTTGGGGCATGCAGCATACTTCGGCTTGCACGTATGCGTTCATGTCAATAGCAAACATATCGCACTTCATAATTTTGTTATTATTGCCCTGGGAGGCAACAAGCAATGCTTTCCGTTGAGATGCTTGAGCAGATTGAAGGTGAGCGTTTTCTTTATTCGGCGTTCCGACATTGGGCGGAAGGGGGGGAGGGGGGGGTCTGGCTCCGGACCTCTGCTTGGTGCGACTGCTTGCAACACTGGGCCCTCTGAGGGGAGACTCAACCTTCTCGAGCCAGGCGCCCCAAACAGTCAAGATCTACTCCATGGCGGGGGGGAGAGGGGGAGAGGGGAGCCCGCGCCGATCGGCAAAGCAACGAACAGAAGGCTCCCAAGAGAGACCCACGAAAACCATGGGATACCTCCAAGAACGCCACTGGAAGCCCGCGCCAGGGCCCTAGATGGCTTCAGAAGACTTCTGGAGGGCCCCAGCTCCCCAAGGCGGCCCAAGAAGCCACCAGGACAGCCCAAGAGTGCCCCAGGACGGCACAAAAAGAGCACCAAAAACGACCAGACGGCGCTCTCCTACGAAATACATCAAGCTGACCCGACGATCTTGGTTCCACGTTTGAGGCAGCTACCCGATCGAGAGAGACAGGCAATGGATCTAGATTCGAAATTCGACGATCGAAGATTTCCTGAGTGCATGCTGGAGCCCTCCAGGCATTCGGGAAGCGATCAAAAATCGATGTGTTCGGAGCTACTGTGACTTCTTCGGTGTGTCATGGGAACGCCCCTTACTTCCTCAAAGGACCTTCGCGCGCGAAAAAATCAGCATGATTTCCCCACTCCTGCGCACAAGCGTGCCAACGCATCGTCCGAAAGCGGTGTCACCAGGCACCCGGGATATCGGAAAAATGGGCGGGTCGCCCGTCCAGGCCTCGAGGTCCTCCCTGCTGAGGAAAGCGACAATCCATTGCTTTGCCAGGGAAGCGTCCGGAACAAGGCGCATGGCGCGAAGCACCAATGCAGTCCTGTATATACATGTATATATATACATGTATATATACATATATATATATATGAGTATATATATATATATGTATATATATATGTATATACATATATATATATATGTATATATATATATATATAACGAAACGATCACGGGGCTTGGCTTTCGCATGTTTCGCAGGGGCTCGGAAAGGGGGAAGCGACCTGCCCCGTCGGCGCGCCGCTCCGCCGCCGCTGCCCCCGAGGGCCCGGCGCTCCTTCACATGGCAGGGGCGCGGGCGGGGCCCCCCCACGGCGGCGCGCCGCGGATAATCTCTGTGGCTGTTGCTCCCAGGCCTCGATATTCTCGATCCTCCTCCTCCTCCCCCCTCGATCCCGGGCCCTCCTCCCTCCCCATCCTCCTCCAACTCCTCTCCTCCCCCTCTATCCTCCTCCCCCTCCTCCACCTCCCTCCTCCTCTTTCTCCTCCTCCTCCTCCTCCTCCTCCTCCTCCTCCTCCTCCTCCTCCTCCTCCGCTGATCATCTGTGGCCTTTGCTCCCCGGCGGCCCTCTGGCAACCCAGCCTGGGCCTCCATGGGGCTCTCTCCGTCTGCGCGGGGCCAGCACTCCGTCCCGAGTCGCTCCCTGACGGCCCCGTGGCCCAGGGGCGGCCCCTGTCGGCTATAGGCGTAGGAGCGGCCCTGGGTAAGAGCGACCTTTGGTGCGCAGCTTTTCGGGGGCGCGAGGGAGCCAAACCCACGGGCGCAGGCCGCTCATGTCGCATCGCGCTCGGCGATCGGGGGGAGCCCGATGAGCCCGCACCAAAGGTCACTCCGGCGAAAAGCCACTCTTACGTGCAGTCGACCCTGCAGTAGAGGCAGAAGGCTCACCGTGATGTCAAAGCCGTCCCGGTCCCCCACTGGGCCGCAACGCAACCGCCTGCATTGCGCCGTCCTCCTCCTCCTCCTCCTGCGCCCCGTGGGCGTCCTCCTCCTCCTCCTCCTCCTCCTCCTCCTCCTCCTGCGCCGT